CCCCAAAACCCCAAAACCCCAAAACCCCTATATCTTAAATCAAAATTAATTTTTAAAAATAAAAATAAAATGGCACAGAATAAATATCACTATAAGTAAAAAGAACGATATTAAAATGAGCATTAAATACAAGAAGTTATTACTACTGACTTTACAAAAGTAAAAAATGTCAAAAAAATTCAATGATCATCTATTAAAAGATCTATCAAAGCAAATCTAATAAATTCTAATCATATTAATTAGAGTCCAAATTTAAATGGAATTTAATAATTAACTCATGAAAGTATATAAGATTCAAGTTATACCACAGCAGAAAATATTCATAAATAGAATTCTCTTAATCACAATTATCAAGAGTCTACCAAAGCTTACTCTTAGGTTCAAAATATTTCCTAGCTTTCAGCTTAAAACTCGATAAGAAATGGAATTGAGTAAGATTTAAGTAGCAGTATTAATAAAAGCATCAGAGGGTCTTCCAAAAAGCTTTTAGTCGCTAGATAGAGACAGAATTAGTAGGATAATATCATACTTCCAATAATAAATTAAAATTTTCAAAAATAGGATGAAGAAAATTAGCAATTCCTATATTAATCAAAGGATAGCAAAAATTACAAATAACTAAATATTAAACCAATGTAGAAAATCAAAGAATTGCTTAAAAATAGAGAACTTTTGACAAATTCAGATTCCTAAAACTATTATAATAATTAAAATAGCACTTAATAAAATAATAAGCAGTTGATAAATTAAAGCCAGCAGAATATTGTAGTAAGTAAATTAGATAAAAATAAATTTGATATGATAACTGAGACTATTAAGTTTGATTAAAGCGGAGAGGAAAATAAAAAAATTTTGTTAATAATAAATGATTCAAAAGAAAAATCAGGACACTAAGGCTAAATTTCAAATTTTAAATAAGATAGATTGCAAAGAAATATTTACCTAAATCATAAACTTAAAAATCTTAAGGAAATTAAATACAGATCAACACATTTCAAAAATAGAAAAACAGACAAGTTACAAAATAACTACAACTATTAAGATGAAACAGTTGATCAAATTGAAGAAGACATAATAGCTATGTTGAGGAACTAATCTTAACTCAAACAATCGTTTGATCTCAATACCTAAAAGACATTGTATAGAGGTTAAACAACTGACGAAAGAAGCTAAAATAGCTTAATAAAGTAAAAAATAGAGAATTCCAAAAAGTAAAATGTGGAATAAACCAAAAAGAATGCTTTATAGTCAAATACTTAGATTGGTCCAAATAAAAAATTTACAGTTCCTAATGCCAATAATAAATTTTATTAATCACCAATAAAAGGTTAGAGAAGATTAGCACACTCTAATATTGCACCTTAAATTTAATCTACAAGCAAAGCTACATTTTACTCTCAATTTCAAAATTAGTATGATAGTGCGCATAGTTTTAGAGAGGGTAGATCTCTTTCAAATATTAGATAAAATCTTTACAATGACCATACTCGAAATAACTAACTTACTCCTATAAGAATGAGATAGGATGCAAACAAGACTTCACTTAATCTCAGAACTAATAATTAGGACTCCTTAAAATCAATAAATGGTTAATCGATAACGAATTTAAATTGGCAATTTAAAAATGAGCAAAGCTAAGATAGTATTGATTAAATTATGAGAAGCAATCCTAGACTAGTTAGTAAAGTTTTAATTGCAGAGCCATAGATTGATGATAAGAAAAAAGCAATAAAGCTTACTCTATACAGCTCAATTGAATAAGCTAGTTAGAATAATTTAAATAAATTTAGAACAACAAGCAGTAAGTTTATTTCAAGAATCCCAAAGTCATACTACAATAACTACCGAGCAGCTAAACTAAGAGAAACATTAGAATCTGAAGAACGAAAGAAGATAGAGAGTTAATATCATAGAGATGGTTATGAGTGTACACATGAAGTATGTAATTGTCAATTTGAGTTAGACAAAAAGGAATAATTAAGAGTAAAATCAAGATCTCCATCGCCTCCAATTATAAGTTTATACCGAAAATAAAAAGAATTTTCAGATCGACTCTCAAATCCTTATTAAGCGTGCAGAAAATGCTGTAGCACTAGTCATAATCCATTTTATCATCATTTAAAATTGACGAAAAGGAAAAATTAAAATATGTAGTCAACAAATAGACTTTTACTAGTCCAAACAAAATGGATCGAATAGAGGGATGATGATAAAAGAGCATGTAGCGCTGATTCTGGGAAAAGAAGGAAAAATAAGGAAAACCTGGCGATTGATTGGTAAATCTCTTCTATATATAAGGATATCATTTAGTCTAAAAAGGCTAGAAAGCAAAGTGGTGCATCTGAAAAATTACAAAATATTTTGCTGAAAAAGTATCCGGATTCTGACCTTGATATCTATACTGAAATGGAAGTGCAATATCATTAAAGTATTTTAAAGCAAAAACTACATGAGAAAGATATAGTTCCACTTAATGAATTGCATTTAATATTTTAAAAGGCAATGAGAACATTGAAATTCCAAATGAAAAAGCTTTTGCTAATAAAAACATATAATGTTATAGAGGAAACTTACTAGACGAATGAAAATAAAGAAACTATTAATAACTGCATTAAATTATTATTGAGATCTAAAAAAACATTTGATGCAGAATAGTAGATTAAAAAGGCTTTGAAAAATATATTATTAAGGGAGAAAATTAAAGATAAATTAGAGATAACTCTCTTAGAGAAAGATAAGGCTATTGAATTAGTTTAAATTTATGATGAATTGATATTAATTTCCAGCAAAATTTACAGCGATATAATTTGGATTTAAAATTAGCACCGAACATTAAAAAGGCCATTCATATTTGGAAAAGTTGATTATCTGGATTAATTGGTATCAGATTCTGTATATTATCGGGCAGGCCTATATAAGGATCATAATCTATAAGTAAAAAGATTTCTTAATAAAGATGGAAAGTTGACAAATACTGAATGATTTTTTCTACACAGGCTTGATAAAGTTTTAATAACTTGACTAAATATTAATTTTACAACAAAAATATAATGCAGTTTATATATTTAATTGAAAACAATGGGGTTTTGGGGTTTTGGGGTTTTG